AGAGGTGACGAAGTCCGCTCACTGGGTAAATGCGTTGTAGGAATCGTAATAAACGATACAGCTGAGGCCCGAATCATAGATCGCATACCCGTCAGCTGTCGTTTGTGCGCAATGAGGCTCCAGGGTTCAGTTAGTTTTCGGAAGGGTAGCAACCAAAAGGTGCTTGTTCATCGTGTCGGCATATGCGATAACTAACTGCTGTCTCAATGCAAAAATGTACGAACTTTGCGACAAACTCACCGAGCTCATTTGACTGACTCGCAGCTTTGATATTACTTACTTACTGGCAAGAGATTTTAACACGCAGATTGGAAAACCGAGCGCATCCCATGCCCGTCTAGGGAGGCGCTTCGCTCTTCCCACCCACTGAACAGACAACGGTAAACGATTACTTCAGTTCTGCGCGGAAAATCGGTTGTTCTTATCTAGCACCAACTTTCGACACAGCTCTCGTCGAACGGCTACATGGTGTTCAACCGGTAATTTGACCTAAATTAACCACAAAGTTACCATGGGAGTGATTCAGTACAAAATTACAGATCGTATTGTACTGTATGCGTTAGTCTGACCACTCATTAATTCTGGTGGGCTTCACGCTTCGACTCGTCGATCATCGTCGAAAATTGTCTCTTCAGTTTACTCGGCATCATCTACGCGATCCATCTGTTTGCGCGTTTTATGGGGAGAAGTTGGAACAAGAGATATGGGCACCGCGAGGTGGTGGATCAAAAAATGAGATGATCAGTGCATTCGACAGGAAACGTTGCTTGTGGGGCTGAGCCGGAAGCTCGTCAAAGACACTGGGTCTCTCAGGAGTTGGTAATTCCGACGGAACAACGGCGAGAGATCCCAATCTGCTAGGACCAAAGTAGAAACCGGCGGCTTCTGCAGCGACAGTTCAGGCAAAGCAACGACTGAAAAAACTGGTGGGCCAAAGTAGCTAGTGAAATAGTCAAAAACTGTTTCACCTGATACACATCACTGGAGGTCGTAGGCATTGCTTTAATTGTTACATTGCATTTCGTATATGGTTTGCATAGATTCATTTTAATTGAATGACCGGTGTTATGTATCTGTTTTTGTCAACGGGAATAGCGAACTCCTAAATTACAATTTTTAATTTTATAGTAAAAAAGTTTGAAGCTTTTGAGGAGAACAAACGTTTTCTGACTTCTGATATTGAACAACAAATAAACGGAAGAGGAAAAATCAGTCTCGCAACGGGTTGTGCGTTATCATGTTGGCTGATCAACTAGACATCAAACAGACCAGCACGGCCGATTCGCGCTTAATCAACACAACTTTTCGTTTGACTGTATTCTGTCAAGTGTTCATTATCACTATATATATATATATATAGCATATCGTATTAAAAACACCCCTCTCCATTTAGTTACAGGCTTTATTCAAGCACCCAGAATTGAAATTCACTCATGGGTATGGTGTGGAACTCAACCGCCCGTTGGTTTGGTATTCAAAGTGGAAGTCGTTTCGTTCCTTGGATGGACGAGAAAAAAACATCAAATTTATTTGCCAGGATATGTGGAAAGCAAACCTGTCAGAATTCCAGACCATTGTTGTGTTTGGCGTAGAGTCGATGGTAAGCACTTTAGTTTGTGTATGCTGGTGACGCATTCCGGAGGCGTAATTGCG